ACAGGAGTAGTATATTTAAATGTATGTATTATTGTTTTATATTACATTTAAACTAATAAAATATAACTTAAATAATAAAATATAACTTAAATATTAAAGGCCCCTAAAATTATATTGCCCCGGGCCCATATTTCTTAAGTTGGGCTCTGCCCCCATCGCTCCCCTCAAATACGCCACTGGCGGCGGAGAATAAACACATCTAAACCGAACGTCACCAGAAACATGAATGTCGATAACAGAAATAACGAATACGATAAGCGAAGATGCCAGCAACGGCGGGAACCGCAAGTCGCAACCGCTGCCCAGTGTACGACCGCGACGAAAACGTATACGGAATAGAAGGGGTAATACGGTCTCGTGCGCTGCTGCGTGAAACGTAATAACTAAAAACGGTCGAGCAAAATATCTTTTTGCTTCAAAAATACTTGAGTTTTTTGCTAATATATTCGTTATTATTCAACCAATTTGTTCAAAAATGACAAAGGTATAATCTACAAATCATGCCCGATCTATTGATACCACAAACAGACCAATCCGTTTATTCATTAGATCTGTAGCCCTGGCTAAAGAAAACGGGGAAATTTACACACATTCAATGGGCAGACTCTGGCTCGTGTAATATAATACGGTAGTGACCGCTTCGCTTTTTTTTTTTACTTAGCTTCGCGCCACTACCGTCGCGCTGGATAGTTTGTCAATAAGTCACAAAAACATTGATTTTCTTATGCCAAAAAATAAGATGAAATACGATTTATAGCGATTATATATATTTATTTATGAGTCTACGATTACAATTTCATGAATTAGTTTCAACCTCACAGTCGAGTGTGTTTGATCGAATCCGAATATCTGCGTTTAGTTTTTGTATCAGTGTAATCGTGCATCGATATTTATTTTAGATTTATTAATTATTATCATCATGGAAGAATTTAAAGATAATCCAAGAAAAGTCAAAAAGTATGAAACTAAGTTTAAAGAGTCATGGTTAACTAACGAAAGTAAAAGAAATTGTTAGTTAAAATAGATGAGAAAAAAGCGAAATGTTAATTTTGTAACGTTAATTTTACTGTAAAATGGGACGGTGAAAAGGCTCTGACTACTCATTTAAATAGTGAAAACCATAAAAAAAACTACACAGAATTTGCAACGTAATTCATTAATGACCACATTTATGACTAAACGAAATAGCTCGGATGAACTTAAGGTAACAATCATTGAAATAGCATCAATTTATCACGCAATCAATCATCATCATATCTATTTAAGTATGGACTGTGGAATAAAATACTTCTCTGTATGGAGATTCTGTTATGGCAAAAAACGTTCACTGTGGACGTACTAAAGCAGAAGCAATAGTCAAAAACATTCTCAGTCCTAATTCAATAAAACTAGCCATTCAAGATTTGAAAATGGTTACGGCTTTTCAAAATGGTAGTTATTTTTCTATTGCTATGGATGCGTCTAATAAGGGATCCCAAAAAAATGTACCCTATTGTTGTTCAGTATTTTCATTTTCAAAAAGATATCCAAAATAAACTTATGGATTTTTATGAAGACCCAGACGAGACATCATTAAAAATTTTCGAAAATATTGAAAATTTTATACAGAAATACAATTTAGACGCTGAATTATTATCTGGATTCTCTGCCGACAATGCATCAACAAATTACGGCATTCATAATTCGGTCTATCAAAAACTTATCGAAAAACATCCAAAAACTAAAATAATAAAAGCAAATTGTAATTGCCACGTTATTCACAATGCTGCTAGAAATTCTATGAAACAATTAACATATGATGTAGAAAACTTAGTGTTGAAAGTGTATGCCGAATTTTCAAATAGTGCTAAACGCGTAAAAGAACTTCAAATATTTTTTGAAGAATTCGAAATTGAATACAGAAAAGTTCTTCGACATGGACCAACAAGATGGCTAAGTTTGTTTAAAGTTGTCGATAAACTGATTATGTCTTGGCCTGCTGTTTCATCTAATTTTAAATACCGAGGAGAGGAAAAATGTCATCAAGTCATATGGAAGTTTGTTAAAAATATTGACACGACAGAAATGACTGATGTTTCACGCAAAGTAACATTACCAGAATGCTTTTTGTACTTTATTCACCACTACATGAATATACTAAGTGAGGCAATATTAATACTTGAAACAAATTCCGTAACAACTGTTGACTTACACAATCTAATGCAAGGTCTAAAAGATAAAATTGAAAATCGATTAAATGATTCATTTTATGGTGCAAAAGTTACAAGAAGTATTTCATCATTTCCAGAAAATGAGTGAGTAATGTTTAAAAAAGAAGCTGATGAAGTGTATAAAAAAAACTATTGATTATTTAAAAAAAAAATATTACGACTTCAATGATTCTATTTTTAAGATTTTTTCAAACTTTAATTTAAAAAACAAAACAATTGAGTATGATGATGCAATAAAATCTGTGAATCTGTTGGGATTAAAAAATATTGAAGAAGACCGACTTTACGACGAAGTAAAAAATGTGCAAGGAGTCTGGGCAGAGCTTTCCAAAATGAACTTATCTTCAGACTTAATGTGGGTAGAGTTGTTAAAAAAAAAACAATTTCACTGAACTTCCAAAAATTATTGGAAAAATATTTTCAGTACCCATACGCTTTTGTTGAACGAGTATTTTCATTGATGGAAAATTTATGGTCCGATGAAAGAAATCGTCTGTCAGTGGAAATGGTTAAATCAGAACTCTGCGTCAAATTAAATTACAATATGAACTGTCAAGAATTTTTGTACTTTTTAAAAAATCCTGAACAAGAAAAATTATTGAAATGTGTAACAAATAATGTTAAGTATGATTTTAAATTTAAATAAAAACATATTATTGTAATTTTGAATAATAAAATATGTGATTATATTAATATTTTTTTGCATTTCATAACTTATCTTTTCACTTCATAAACTAAGCTATAAATTATACTGCCTGATGACCTTTTTTTTTTGCTTATGGGCCTGTCTCCGGGGCTGCTATTTTTCAAAGGTGGCAACCCTAATCCTCTATCATAATTTAATATTTATTCTAAATAATAGTCGATATTACTATCACTTTAATTTTAGAGCTATGGGTAATAACCGCTTGGGGATCATCTATAATTAGATATAGCATCAATTAAATTAACCCATGGTGTACATTATCTATCATTTTTTCTTATCGTTAGGCCGCGTACACATTGGAAAGCGTTTCGTGGTGAGCGGTGGGCGATGAACGACGAGCGTTGAGCGGTGAGCTGTGAAGTGTGTATATTAAAGAACAAGCGATGAGCGTTGTTTGAAACATTATTTTATTTTAGTGTAGTGACTTAGAGTACCATGGCACTAAGTTCGGAAGTTCGTCGTATTTTATTGTTCGAAAATTCATTTTTACGAAGACTACGCCTCTTAATTAACTAAAAAGAAAAAAAAGAATAGGTGTTCACGAAATGAATAAAAAACGAAGTTTTCTAGGCGAGTTCCATCATGTATATGAAGAATTAAGACTTGACCGAAAGATATTTTTCAAATTTTTACGTATGTCTTTAGAAACTTTTGATTTTCTTCTATCTAAAGTACAATTCAAATTAACAAAGCCGGTGACTAATTTCAAAAAACCTATTTTTGCGGCTGAGAGACTTTATGTCACTCTAAGGTAAGTCATTAGATATGATTTTGTTTTAATTATTAATATAATAATTAAAACAAAATCATATAAATTCAGTATAAATATTTGAATTGTTTTTATTAAACATTTTTCTTTGTATTGCAACATTGTATTTATAAAATCTGTATCTATAAAATAACTGTATTAGGACTTCTAAGGTTCAAAAAATAAATAAAAAACAAAAACTTTAAAAAAAAAAAAATTATAAAATAATATTACCTATTCCTAACTGGAATATATACAACAGCTCCAATTTCATCCCACAATTTATTGTTTTTTTTTCAGCTTTTTTATAATCGGGGTGTCTATCATTCCATAAATATGGTCTTCCCTGCACTTCTGATATGAGAAGTTCTCGACTTGCATTTGTAAAATGTACTTTTTAAGAGCACATGGTGTCTTATAAAACACGTTTTAATTAATACCAATGCAAAACATAAATACAACGCTTAACAACAACGCTCACAATTCAAGTAGTCTTGAAAAATAAACAACGCATCGCGCACAGCGCATCGCTAACGTTCAACGCCCGAGATCAGTGTACACTGTTCCGATAAAATTACTGTGTTTGATTTATTTTTGTCAACGCTCACCGCTCATCGACCACCGCTCGCCGCGCAACGCTTTCCAATGTGCACGCGGCCTTATACCTAAATTTTATTTCTCCAAAATTTTTTCCACTTGTTCAAATTAATCAAGAAAATAAATTTCATGTAATATTGTAATATTATAATAAGTATTGTATATTCAATATTGTATTTTAGTGACCAATGCCATTAAGCGTCCATCCGGAATTTTGGCGCATATACTTACCTTAAATAAGAAAGGGGACTCCGTCCCTCTCCACTTTAACCACTGCTAACGCTCCATGCGGATAAAAGATCAATAGGATCATGATTATTATATCATGGATAGAATAAAAAAATTTGGAATTATGGAAACTTTAATTCGTAATAAAATAAACAGAAGTTTATATTTAATATATTTAATACTATTTATAAGTTTTGATCCTATGTATTCACTAATTTTGGCAGTTATTTTTGTTTTATTTGTTTTTTTATTATTTTAATTTTGTTGAAAATTGTATGACCGTATTTTCATTATTAAATGATATGTGCAAATGTCTCAGTTTACCTGTTCGATGTTCTATGCAAGGGAAATTTACGTTATATTATTTATTATTTTAAACCATATTTGATACATATCATATATTTGATAAGAAATTACGTCATGATAATTGATAAGGATTTAGCTCGTGGGCTGTCTTTAAACGCTCGTTGTAAGTACATTATATTATATATATTAGTGCCGTAGCTGGTTATTTTTTTAAGTAAATTTGAAACCGTTTCAGTTGTGTCCATAACAGTTTATAGTAGAGTAGTTAAGTTGATGTGTGTGAGCGTTATCCCACCACACGTTCCTCGTTCTAGTTCTACTGGTTAAACAATCGGCAACGTGATATCGGTGAGTGATTTTTTTTTGGTTATGTTCGGCGTCTATGCGAGTCACTTATTGTCAGTACGGGTAGCATGTTAAATCGCAAATAGATTATTATTTTTCTTTTAATTTTCTTTTCCCCTGTTCACGTCTCGAAATACGAGAGACCTAACCTAACCTAACCTTAGAAGTAAATAATTAAGAGAAGTAAAAGTATCGTTTTAAGCTCAATTTATTGGTATTATATAGATACTTCCGAACACGTAGGTTCTTAAAAATCTAACTTTGTTTAATTGTATAAAAAAAAATAGAATAGACATTTACTATACATACGTTGACATATATGTGGACAGATGATAGCACATTTTAAAAATTACCCACATGTGATAATGTATCTAAAAACAATTTGATACACATTAATTGACTATTGATATACGAAAAGGTGTCGTATATACCGACCAAAATCGTGCATATGGACACATAAAATATAATTTTTATAAAAGTAAAAATTAAAATAACACATATGTTTCCATACTCGTCGTGTCACATGACTACCACGGAAGAACCACTTTATTAGTACGTCCTCTCTCTTACATACATTTAGATATCTATAATAATAATAATAATATAATAATTTGCTTACATGCTAATAGAAGAAATTAAAGAAATGTTAATGCTAGCTTATCTTCTATTGTGACATTAATATTACCTGAATTCGAATTGCCTGATACTACAGGTAATACCCCAAAAAAATATAATAAATATTTATTTTATTTTTTTATCAACCGTGACTCGCATAATAACTTACGATTGTATAATAACTCGTTTCACATATTATCGCATCACAATTATATGTAGTTTACGTAATAATGCCATACATTTTGTCCGGGGGGGGGGGTTACCCAATTATCTATGAATCATTTGAGATAAAAACGACTATTAAGTATAATGAATAACGAATAATTGTAAAAATTAAAATTATGAATAAAAATAATCTGTAATAATCAAATGAAAAATAAATGAATAAAGAGTACATTTTATTCGACTAATGCCCAACTCTGACTAATAGTGACAAAACGAAAAGTTCATTGCCAAACAATATCAGTATGATCAATAAAATTAGTGAACTACGTAAACTTAAGAATAGTTCATCTGAACTACTCACTTGAATAGTTCCTAACTGTGAACTAATGAACTATTCATAGAAATTAACTAAACTTTCCATTTCTACTCTGTTCTACCATATCTTATTCACAACCTGCATACAACGTTGGTAGCACTGGATTGAAATTCTATTGCAAAGATGCTCGTTGTTTCACGCTGTCCCCCTTCCCTCTACCGATCGATTAGTGTTATTTCACTATAGTGAACGTCTAACCATCGTACTATCATAAACGTTATTATTTATAAGCACATACATGAAGTGCGTTTTGACAGATTTTTTTACGACCACGACCGTAATTTAGTTGAGGTGAAATATTATTACTGAAACTAAGAAATTTTAATGGATAGAAAAAATAATTGTTTAATGAAATTTAATATGTTTTTAAGAATAAATTATTTTGAAATTGATATTCTTAGTCTTCAAAAATGTATATGTAAAAAAATAAAAATTTTATTTATCTTCAAATTGATTTTTCGAAATAATTATTGATGAATATACTGCAAATTATTCGTATTAGAATATTTTTATGTAATTAATTTTTTTATTTTATTTTCTATTTATACCAAATTTTGATCAAATATTTTTTATATTATATGAATATTTATTTTTAATTTTTAATATGTAATACTTATTAATTCATCTCTTTAAAGTATTACTTCATGACTATTTTGTAAACACTTGTTGCTTATTATGATAGATTCCATAACATATTTTGTAAAGACACCAATAATAAATATTATCTATTCTTTATTTTTTTTTAGTTTATGTCATTATTGAATATCTTGGAGCAATATTAATGTGAGCTACTTTATTAAAATGGTAAGCCTTTATATATGTTAATGGTTTTCAATTTTTAATGTTTATGAATTATAATAATGTAAATATAAAATTAATATAATAATAGATTATTTTTAATTTTATTATTATTATTATTAAAAAGTTATTGATTTGAAAAATATTAATTTTATTATTAATATTTTCACAGGCTTTATTTTGCGTTAAACATTCAAATACCACAGCATCAATATCAGTTATATCTGATGTATTATGTCAGAAAAACTCGTCAAAGTAATTAATTTATAGTAACTACTTATTTTAGTGTTAAAAGTTTTTGAGATAAATGTTAATTCATTCATAATTGATCCATTTTTAATAATATTAAGTACATTTTTTAAATCATTGTGCATTGTTTTCTGCGAGCTTTTCAATTACCTTTTGGTATTTTTTAAAATATTTCATGTAATATAAAGCAGTTACTATCCATTTCCCTTACCTTGTTATTACCAGGACTGGAGGTAAAGGTATATTTTCCATTTCATCTCTAAAAATTGAAATTTTATTTTGTAATATTAAAAATATTTTTTTACCATTATTGATTAAAATATTAATATTTGGAAATAATTTGTAAACTTTTTCAGCAATAAGTTTGCAAGAACGTGTAGTACAAATCTTATGTACCATAATAGAATAAAACAACATCAAAGATTTTATTGATTTTACTATGTATAGAGTAGCGTCTGTTAAAAATAATGCGCATCTTCTAAACCTACATTGGTCCATAATAATTTTAATGAGTCATTTATGAACTGACTAATATATTCGTTTTATTTAATTGTTTGAATGCCAAAAAATGAGACCATCCTGCGTAATTCTTGTTTAGGGCACCCACAAATAAATTAGAAATGTATAAACTTCTTGTTTTAGTGGTTTCATTAACTATAACATAAACAAAATTGTTTCCAATTTTTTATTTTGTTTTTTGTCTTTTGATAAATATTTTATCCATAATATACTTTCTTCTAGTATAGATTGGTTGGTATATTTAGACAAAAGAATGTCAAAATAGTTTGCCGTGTAATTTATATAAAGGTATGTCAGATGAAACCATAGGGAAACATAAATCTTATATAATTAAATTAATTTTAATGAAGGAAGTACCTGTTTTCATGTGTTGATCTGACTGTGATTTTCTTTCACAAACTATGTTGCCTACATGCGTTCAAAATATTATTTTTCCATCTGAAGTAAAAACTTCTTTGTTTGTACAGGAAATTCATTCACGTATTTTAGAATTAAAAAACTAACTTTTGGTATTTTGTACTTTCTACATTTTTTTTAAATTGGTTTATTTTTATTGATACAGTTGTATTTATTAAACTAAAAAATGTTGATGTTTGGTTGTTAGCACAGTTGTCACTCCAGAATAGTCAACTAAATGTTCATTTCATAGCCTGTAGGTTGAATTGTAGAATTAAATGTATTACTTTGATAATGATGGTATAATGATTAGATTACAGCCGATGAGTTAGTTCTTTTATAATGATAGCATTACCTTGATCATTTCTAATGTATATATGTTACATGTAATATGTGTTTTAAATTAATATAGCTATACTAGAAATGTGTCGCTAACCTTCAACTTCCTAACGACTAACATTTTTTCATAATAGCATATTCATTGAAATATGCAACAAATGTACATTTATAGCCAAATTTACAAAATATTGATATATTGTTATTGATTCTGATATATATTGATATTGATCTGGTTCCTATACCTTCATAAGTTTTTTAAGCTAAAAACATACAACCTGACCACATTTGACCTATGCCAACAAAATAACTGTTGTTTTTTAATCTGTGTTACTAAGGTAATATAAATATAGATAAATTGGAGAGTTCTATCAAAAGATTTCATGGCTTAGAATCCTTACTAGAAAACTTGGCTATGTAGACTATTTAGCAAAATTCTTAGAAATATCTGTCCTGTAGTTTATATGTCTATGAATCTCTAATATACCAAAATCCATTTGTATATAAATAGAGATAGAAAATTTAAAGTTAAAAAATATATATGTATATGGTATATGCATTGTAAAATGGTAATAATTAATCAGGCTATGGTTCAAAATTATTATTAAAATGTTATGTTGATTATGTGATATGTTTCATTATGGTTTTAGACTTATTCTATTGTATATTCTAAAATAAACTAATTTATTTATTTATTTTAAAGATTTGGAGATGCGTATGCTACATTCAAAAGATTAGGTATTTTTCAAGTAAAGGATTTGGCTAATTTATCTTTGACACAAGTCAGTCAAATCCCCCTGGGTACGGATATTGATATAATAGCTGTTCTCTATGATGCATTAGAAGTAACTATTATATTATTATTAATCAGAATTTATATTTATTTATTTATTTTTTATTTATTTTTTCAGTTATATGATAAACAATGTAGTAAGTAAAATGTATTTTTAAATTTTTATTAAATATATCAAAATAAGTATTTACAAAATATATATAACTATTTACGTTTGCTATATAAAGTAAGTACTACTAAAACCATAGTTTAAAATCATTTATCATTATTATTAATTCTTAATTAATTTACGACTTAAATTAATAATAGTATTAGAATTTTTTTTTGTATTTAAAGTCAGCTTGACAGTTCATTGCTCATTCAATGATTTATTAGGTCTCATAATACACATTTATGGCATTTAATAGTTTTCTATTTTACTGTATACATAAGGAAAACAAGCTGATATTTAGATTTATAACTATACTATTATCATATATAGTAGAATAAAGTGAAAAACTTAATTCTTTACTAAGATTAAATAATATATTTAATATATTTTGCTATCATTTGTTCATAGTTCTTATTAAGATAAAATATATTTTCTTTAATCAGTTGCCATTGTTATTATTGTTATTATTAATTTATATAATAGAATAATGGGCCCTTTTGATGGCCCCATGCTATTAACTTTTTACTCATGTATACGATTCTTTTGCACACATTTACCTTTTTACGATTTGTTTGATCTAGGGCTGTCCCGAAGATGAAAATCAAGTTGGTGGGGGTGGGGATGGGGTGGGGGGTTTGAATAATATGAAAAATACCGACTTCAATTTTTTTACTCATTGTATGTATTATAATTAACTATATGTAGTCATATTTTTTACTTTTTAACATGTATATATGTGTCAGTGCTGCACGTTCTTAGCCTAACCTAACCAATTTAATTATATATATATATATATATATATTTAATAATATATTTATTAATATTAATAATATTTTATATTGTATAATAAGTAATTATATACATTTTATTCGTGTATACAATGTATTACGAAATATGTAATATTTGTTTTCCGTAAGTAAAATTAGGATCTTCTAGGCTATAATGAAACAAGTCGACTGCCAAGAGGTGTTTTCGTTGGGAGGGATGGTAAGATACCTTCTCAAGACCCTTTTGGGACAGCCCTGGTTTGACCACAATAGTATATTTTTATTTTCTCTTTAATGTGGGCTAGGATTTTCTGAATTGCACATATGTGATTAAAGATGTGAAATTATGTTCTTTTTTTCTAAATAAATACCAAACTATATTATTTATAAGTAGTTATTGTAGTCTGCTTTTGTTAGTTAGTATGATTTAAAGAAATACAAAAAAAAAAAAAAACACTATAAAATACCAATATAGCTTAAATATACCATTTCAAATAAAATCAAAAACGGTATAACAACACAAAATCATAATTCATGGTAGATTAAAACAAAATAAATCAAGTTTGATTCTAACAAAATTAAATTTCTTTTAAAAACTATCATAAAATGATATATATTTACAACAGATTTTTATACCAAGAATTAATAATTGACAAATTATTAGGCCCTATTATTTGTACAATTTCGGACTGCACACTTGATTTTACTGCTTTAAATGAAAATTTAATCTCGCTATTGTTTTAAAAAAAGGAATATATTACATATATATATATGCATTACATTTTAAAAAATTCAATAATACTCATATTTCCTAGTAGTTAGCTTATTATTTAATTTTTGTTTTGTAGACCATAGTGCACATACGTTAAAACCTTAGTGCACACTTGTACATTCATGGTGCACATAAAAATAGAGCCTGCAAATTATTATAAACAGTTATTAACTCTAACATAATACATATGTATCAAAAACTTACGTTTGTTAAGATACAACAAAAGCTGGGTAACAATGGTTACTGATTTAGTGTTTTTTAATTTTATTAAGACTAAAAAAATATAATTGGATCTGCATCATTTTTAATATTCATGGAAGCTCTAATACAAACTATTTAACAAGTTTTTTTTTGACATTGAAGTAGCTTCATCAATTAATATGGATATTTTAGAATTACTTTGAAAAATAAAATTTGTAACTTTCACTCTCATTACATTGCCAATGTGACTAGAAATATCAGCATAAGAATGATCACTGTGTAATATGTGGCCCATATTTAATCCGTTTGACATTTGAAGTTGAAAATCATATGGTAAATCAGAAAATGGTCATCTTTTTAAGAATGTTATGTACGGTATTAAATACTCTCATTGTGTTCTCAAATTCAACAGAAATGCCCCTTGATACAGATTTTTGATTTAAAAATTCTTAACTTTTTTGCTAGTTTTTTCTCGGCTTGGCAATTCTGAAGTCACAATTGAGTTTGATTTAGTCAACCAATTTAATAAAAATAATATATTTACTAAAATCACTAATAACTTCTTATTTAGTATCTTGGAAAATTAAATACTAAACAAAGTATTGCGTGCCAACCGATTGATCGAATCTCAGTGACTTTGTTCAACGCTTGTATGTAGGTATGTCATAAATAATTAATGCTAATTGTGGTAAAGTGATTTATTAAACTGTTAAAAATTATTCTAAGTTTAATTAATTAATTTGGCTGTTAAAATTCTAAGTCCAGATATTTAATTTAAACTGTTCTAAAATATTCTAAGTCCTAACCATGACATACACTAGCTTGAAGGTGCTCAGTGTCGCATAGCAAGAACTCGTCTGATTTGCCCTTGTTTCCGGTTCCCTTATATATCCGTTGGACGTTAGTGTGTGTGTAAATTGCAAGTATGTGTATGTGAAAATTAGTGATAATTACAAATAGTTAAAAAATGATAATCCTTATAGATTTTGTGTGTGAGATGGCGTATGCATATAATTTGGAAATGTATATAATTCAATTTATCTCACTGGTGTGTTTAATTGGTACAATTTTTCCTTATTGAATGATGTTTATGTGATATTTTGGATGTTATCCTAATAATCATTAGTTTCCCTGTTCGAATTTTATGAAGGTGTGACGTTTGTGTGATAATGCGTATACTTTAATTAAGTTTAAATTAACGTTAATAAACGTTCTACTTAAAAAAAACGAAAGTAAAAATACATTATCTTCCGTTATAAAAACTATTCATGTTATAACTTTATAAAATGTATATTTTATTGTTTTGGTCACAACTCACAAATTACAAGATAGTTTACCATTATCAGGCAATACCACGGACTAAGATATATATATAATATATATCTTAGTCCGTGGGCAATACCATAGAGGAAGTCTATAAATAACTCAATAACCAAAATATTGTATTTATCAGTATTTACAATTTCTTATCAACATAAATTGTAAGAAATGACACTTAGGTTTATTAGATATGGGCATCAAGGAGTTCAATTTAAATGAGATAAAAATACTGATTTCGTAAAAAACAAAAATTAAATACTCGTAAAACTAGTTAAAAAATCATCGTAAATAAAATACAATTTTAATCGATAATCTTTGTATATATTTAAAAGGGGGATGCATAATTTTGGAAAAAATAAGTAGAGGTATGAAAAATGTAGATAATAAGTGGAGGGATGTCTTCCCCCCCGTATCACCCCCACGACGATCACTGGTCATAAGTTTATTAATAGGTTCACTAGCCCATAATATCGAAAGAGAATTGCTAATGTAATGTAATTTTTTATGGTAAAATCGGAAAATATAGAAGTAGTGCTAGACTGTACTAAGTGTTATTGACATAAGATCACAATTTCATCTGAGTCATTCGTTATTAGTTTAATGACGGATTTTGTTGTGCTCAAACGAGTCGTCGATTTTCAGGTAAACAATTTTGAATGTGTGCAAATAAGTTGCACCATTACTTATTTACTTAACATTTTTATAACTTAATAACAATATAAATAACAATACAATTGAGTGCTGTTGATTTTTAATATATATATAAGTAAATTTTTAAAAGTAAAATATATTAAGAAACCTGAGGTATCTAGATCTGCTACAGGTATATTTATTTTTATACCACGGCTTAATGATTTAAAAGAAATTATATTAAACAGTTAATTACCTATTAAATATTTTTATATAAACAAGAGCTTTTAAATTACTGGTATAGATTGGTCAAAACTACTTTTTGTTTTTGTTTCAGAAATGCAATTGAAAAATGCTCATGAAGAATATGAAAACAATAATATTGTCAATTCCCAAATCATGGGTCTTGAACTATTGAAACATAATGACAAGGATATAAATACATTAATATTATTGACTGCAACTTATTTTCGTAATGAAGAATATGATGAATCAATTAAATATTGTTGTACTATACTTAAAATTGAACCAAACTGTAGTGATGCATATAGAAATTTAGGTTCGAATTATTTTAAAAAATGTGATCTTATAAAGGCAATAGAAGCATATTATTATGCTGCAGAGAGTAGTTATGATAATGATTGTTGGTACTTATTTGCTAAAGCAATAATTTTAAATCATCCAGAAACAGCAGAATTTGCTTATCAATCTGTTTTGCATTATAAACCTGATTTGTATTTGTTACGTTATGAATATGCCAATTATTTATTTTCATTAAATCGAATGAAAGAGGCTGAAAATCAATTTGAAATGGTTGCAAATGATAAACCGGAATTCTCACCAATTTTTAATAATTTGGGATGTATTCATTTCAAAAATAATAAAGAAAATGCACTTCATCATTATAATAAAGCAGTGGATTTGGATCCTAAATTAACAGTTGCTTGGGTTAATTTGGGAATTACTTACATCAAATTAAAAAAATATGATGATGCCATAGAAGTTTTTCAAAAAGCTTCTCAGTTGGACCCAAATAACTCTACTTCATCGCAATATTTAGCTCGTATTTATTTGAAGCAAGAAAATATAGTATCAGCTATTGACACTTATAAAAAATATCTGCTGATTCAACCGAATAATGTAGAAGTGAATTATGAGTTAGGTGTAGTTTACCTCAATTCTTTGAAAAATAGCATTGAAGCAATCAAATATTTGGAAAAATGTATGGAATTAAATCTAAAAACTAAAGATTTTTTTATCAATCTTGCAAAAACATATATTGCTTTAGAAAAAAAACAATGTGCTTCTATGGTATATGTATCATTGGGTGATTATTATATTCAACAAAATGATGAAAAAGCCAAAAGGGCATATACTGCTGCCTTATTGATTGATCCAGATAACGCAGAAGGGCATTGGAAACTAGGAATACAATATTTTCGATTGGGTCTTCTTGATATGGCTGCAAAGAGGTATATAATATATAAAACAAATTTAATACTATATCCTAATTAATTTTGGTTTTGGAACATTTGTGTTTACCAGTGGTGGATCCAAGATTTTTTTTTTTTGTGGTTGAAAAATGTTTTCCTTTGGGATATTTTTTATAACATTACAGTCAGTAATTGATAATGAATTAAGATAATAGTAAGTAATATAATACATTAATTTAAATCTTAGACTACTAATTTCTTGTATGAATAAAAATACAAATTATATACTTTCCCTTATACTTTTTTTAAAAAAAAAGCCTTTTTCTTAATTCATAAAATTATTGATTTTTAATATATATTTTTTTTGATTTAGGGGGGTTATCTCTCCATGGATCCGCCACTGATGATTATTATTGTTGATTACAGTTTACATTGATCTTAATATTTTTTTTTTAATAAATATAAATATATTTACATACATTTTAATAATATATTATACATTTTTTGGCTTATTTTTTTGACTTATTATTGAATATTAAATTAAATGTCTCTTCACATTTATTTTACCATTAACAGTTAATCAATTTTATTAAAATTTATAATGTTTTAAATAACAAATCAATATTTCAATATATAGGTCTTTTAATTTAATTTTTGTTTAAATGTTTATTCTCGTTTATTTTATGTCATTCCTTTCTTAAGCTATAGTAGTTTATTTCAATTTATAATTATTTGTTGTCTTTTTAATATAATTCTTATTTATTTTATCTTTTAACAGGTATAGAAAATCTATAGAATTGAGGCCTAATTTTCCTGATGTATACTATGATAGTGCAATATTATTTGAAATAAAAAAACTGGATGAAAAAGCAATAAACTACTATAAAATGGTTTTACAACTTCAACCAGATCATTATAATGCATATTGTAATTTGATACTTTTGAATCAGAAATTGGGCCGTACTGATGATATTTTTAAACTAAATAATAAGTTTCTTTTGAGTAAAAATGTATATAATCTTGAAGGACATATTAAAATGGCAAATATTTTTTATTATAACAAAAGAAATCTTGATATTGCACTTCTACATTGTGAAAAAGCCTTGAGTATTGATAGTACATCTCCCAATGTTCATATTTTTAAAGGGAATGTATTACTGGAATTGAAGAAAACTGGAGAAGCAATGACTTGTTTTGAAACAGCAATTAAACTAGATCCACACAGTATAATAGCTCATACTAATATTGGGTCCATCTATAAGAACAAAGGAAATTTCATGGAAGCAATAAATTCATATGAAATAGTTTTGAAGCTTCGACCAGATTTCCCAGATGCTTATTGTAATTTAATACAATGTTATCAGTACATTTGTAATTGGCAAGACTATGATTTCTATGTTGGAAAATTAAAAGATATAATATTAAAACAAATTAATGATGGACAATTGCCATCAATAGATCCCTACCATTCTTTAATGTATCCATTTTCTTCTGAAGTACTAAGAAGAATTGCTTCAACGAATGCAGAAAAGTGTATTGAGAAATCAAATATAGAAATTGATCTAATTCAAAGTTATAAATATCCAATATCATTGACACCTGATGGATGCATTCGTGTAGGTTATGTATCTTCAGATTTTGGTAATCTGCAGTTGATGCAATCCATTCCAAATTTGCACAACAAAAGCAAGATTGAAGTATTTTTTTATGCTCTATCGTCAAATGATGATTCAAAATCTTGGTAAGAACTTGATTGATATTTATGTATTAAGAACTAAAATCATTAGGTTAATTGTGTAGTTCTAAAAATAGTTATCAATAGCATATGTTATATACATTAGAAATATGACATCATTGTTATTTTATAGTAAAGTAAGTATGTATATTAGAAAAATTATGTAAATATTAAACACATTAATTTCAATTTTTCTTAAATATCATTAAATTAGCATATTTTATAAATATAAATAGTAGGTAGGTAGGCCTAGTGCGCTAATTATCAGGTTGGTTACATTTTTATGAATTTAAATTTCATTGTTACATTTTATTTGGTTATATATTTCACATATTTATTTATAATTATTTTTAGTTTCATTTTTATTTTTTTTACAATTATGATTTTATAGCTAAATTACTTGTTCAGCTTAATTAAACTATTAAAATATATCATTATAAAATTTAAAACTAACCATCTTCTACTCTTTGTCCAGTAAAAGTTATCTTCAGTTCTCAAAATGTAGCTGCAGAAGTTTTGTCTGCTTTTCATTCATTCACCTGAAGAAAATTTGTTCGGAATAAAACTTCTCTTGAACAAAAATTGCTATGTGCTTGCCTTGAAGAGTTTGATCGTCATACATTCAATGGTGAGACTGATCTCTCAAATTCCTACTTGAATGGTGTTCCTCTCATAATTTCTTCCCTTTCATAAAACTACAATGACTTCCATCGATGCGAACAAAATTAATTTCCACTAGTCTCAATTACTCCATCTCAAAATATTCTAGCTCTTTTAGATCCTATCAAAACAGCAGAGGTTTACGAACCAAACTGTTCAATTTCAAATGTGATATTACTTCTTTTAAATATGTATTCATAACCTTAACTGAGTCCTGATTTAAATAATAGTTTTCATAGTAATAAATTAGTTTTATTTAATTATAATATTATTATAATAGATCTTCATTAAATAGTTTATTAAATTGTGGTGGAAGTGTTCTATAGTGTTTCATATTCACTCTTACTAAGTGTTTTCTGATTTTACCAATAAACAAGTTATTTAATAATTTTTAATTATAATAATCTTAAACTCTAAAAACTTAATTCCAAGTGCTGTATATTTAAATTTCTTGCAAAGATTTTAACCTACCGTAAATATCTTGATCTAATGACATTCATTCTTTCTTATTCATCTTCTACTAACATTCGTCATCCTTGTATTCTTGAAACTTATACATTTCATGGCTTCTATCAATTCAACTATTTTAAATACACTCAGTTCTCAAATCAATTTAATTTTCAGCAATATTTCCATTACTATACAACATTCCTTTGAATTTTTTTTTTTTTTGGGTTTAGTATAGGCCATTAAAGCCTTTTACTGCAGTTTCCACCTCCTTCCACCATTCTTTATCCTTTACCATCTCTTCCGGTTTTTCTTCTAATATTAACCTTAGGTCTTGATATATATATGGTTACTCCTTCGTTGTTTTTGTCGGCCAAGGGTACTTCTTTTGTTTGGTTTCCACGAGGTTATTTTATTTAATATTTTTCTTTCAGCTCTCCAGACATGTCCCGCCCATCTGATTATTTTGCTCTTTGTTACTGCTACTATGTCTAGTTGGTTGTATAGTTCATATAAGGTAACGATAGTTCTACGCTCAAATTCATTGGTTTCCTCATTCTTTTGGGAATCAAATATTTTTCTTTGTACTTTCCTTTCAAGTATTGCTAGCTTTTTTTTTTTTTTTTTTGAGGGCCATACCTCACATGCATACTAATTGATTGGTCTGACATGTATTTTATATATTGTTACGAATTTTTGCCAAGAGTGGTTAGGCACATTTTAAAAAATCTATTAGCTGCAGTTATTCTTCTTTGTATTTATTTGTGTCCATTATTGGTTATGTCCAGTCCTAGTCCAAGGTATTTAAAAAAAATTCTATTCTTTCAAAACTCATTTGTCCTATTACTAATTCTGTTTTATTATGAATTTTGCATGGTAATATCATGTATTTTGTCTTACTTTTATTGATTATTAAACCCATATCCTTACTTTTTTTTTATTAGGTCTAATGTCATTTTTAGTTTTTCTTCTGATTCAGGTACGATCATAATATCATCTGCATATGCCTTTATAGTTCTGTGTTTTCCTGGATTTTAAGCTCTGTTCTAAATTCTAAGACAGTTCTTACTACATATTCTAGTGCTATATTGAATAGTATAAAAAATAGTGATCACATAGATCACCTTGTCTTATACCATTTTCTACATTGAATTCATCTAACATTTGCTGATTGTATCTAATTCTATATTTTGAATTTGTAGTGCAGGTTAGTACAGGTTAATTATTTTTTCTGGGATTCCAAATTTCAAAATCACAGCCCAATTAGGATTCTTTGATGATTAATTCATAAGCTTGTTTGTATTCAATGAATAGGATAAATAAGTCTTGATTGAATTCATAGCTTTTCTCCATTAGTTGTTTTCTATGTAAATTTGGTCCAATATAGGTTTTCCTTTTGTGAATCCTACTTGGTTCTCAACTACTATTTCTTTTGTGTAGAATATTAGCCTTTTTAATAATACATCTTATATGTTATTTAGAGTACAACATTCAATTGATCCTTGTTTAATAATTAAAGTACTCCTACTTCAACTATTATTCAAAACACTCTCTTCAATTTTAAAGCTGATTTCACTAAAATTTCTAATTTTTTAAATTCCTATACTTGGTTACAAAATTTTCAAAATAACACAATTGATACTACAGATAATAACCTTTTGGGTGCTATCCACTCATTCATTCTAAAGTTTATTTTTTAAGGTTCTACTCACGTATCTCTCTTTCAACCTTCGTTCACTAAAAAACAAATTGATCTTATTTACCTTAAACACCGAGCACATAATATAAAGAAACATCTAATATTTGCGATTACCAACATTTTTCCAGATTAGTATAAATATTTATCAAAACAATCTTATCATAGTTACATATGTGAAATTGAATCATCATTATTTAATAATCCTAAAGCTTTCTGGGAATTCATTCGTAGAAATAAGTCGCTTGAGAGTATACCAAGTTCAATTACCCTCAATAATATAGTTAGTACCGATGAACTTGATTCAGAAAATTTGTCATTTTAAATCTACCTATACATGGCTGTTATCTTCATCTACTTCTGTTTACAACCTTCTTATTAATGTCTACTTCTCTGTTAATGATGTTTTTTATCAACTCATTTTTTCATGGCAAATCTGCCCCTGGATTTAATAGTTTAGCGGGGGCTTGCCTTTTTAAATTGCGTGATATCATTTGTTAACCTCTAGTTTTTATATAAAATCATTCAAGGTATTTTTCCATTCATTCTTAAAATAAGTTCTTAGCTACCACTTTTAAGAACAGTTTAATCCATCAAATGTTGTAAACCATCGCCTCATTACCAATATATCTTATTTAGCGACAATTATTGAATTATAAGTTTTTCCTCTATCCAACCTCTAGTTAATTTCTTCCTGATTGATAAACAGATGATAAATATTGCTAATAATAATAATTAATATTAACTTAGTATTGCTAATGAAACCCTTATTTTTAACTACCCTTAAATCATAAACCAGTTCCTAATCCTGTTTTCTTATTACTTCATTGATTGTATTTCATATTTTTTATTTTGTATACTTGTATTCCCCAAAAAAAACTTTCAAAAAGTAAAAAAAACGCCAAGTTCAAAATTATATTCTTACAACGAAAAAAAACTTGTCCAAAAAAATGCACTGATATCAACATTATCCAAGCTTTTGATTTACGAGGTACTTCAACCATTTTCCTAAACTTATCTTGTTTCTCCTTATAAATATTATTTTTGTAACGGTCTTGTTTCAATATCACTATCCAATACTTAGCGGCTGATTTTAATATTAATGTCCGCTAAATATGTGTATTTTAGATAATTACATGTATATATAAAAGCATATATATAATATGTATATATGAATAAAGCCTATATTATATACAATATATCTAGAAGCATGTGTTAAGTTAATTTCGGTCGCAACACATATAAATTATAATATTACATTTTATTATTAATATGCTGCGGCTTCATCGTCGTCATCGTCATCGGTTTTATATAAATAAAAATACAAAATAATTAATAAATATTCCTATGTGAACACACTGCAGTCGGAAATTCTGCATATTATTCCGTATTATTATAATTTGAATACAAAATATATATGTATATGTTACGGGTAATGTTAACATTTGGATAATGTCGATATTATCCGGCTAAAGTCAACATTAGCCAACTGTTATCATTACCTGCCATAAATATTATTAAATGTTGGCTAATGTTAACATTAACCGGATAATATGATATTAGCCAAGAACTCTTGGATAATATCTTAACAACCATAAACATTTAACGGGCATGAGATAAAATCATTATAAATCATTAACAATGTTAAATATATTAACATACAATAAATTAGTAATTACCATAAAATACATAATATTATTAATATGAATTTATTTTTTATTTTTAATAATCTAACTTATTAATGATACAATATTGAATTTCATTTTATATTATAAATTGTTTCTTAAAATATTATTTTAAGTATCTATAAAATTAAAATGCTAATGTTTTAACCTTTATTATTACATGGCATACTTCCGTGACATTTTTAATTGCACAAAATGCTAGTTGATTTGCACTTATACATCAATATATCTATATATTGTTTATTTTATCGGTAAGATAACTGACTAACTCAGTTACAAGTCAAGATAAAGTATTATACTCTGGAAGTCCGACGCTTTATTATTATATAGAATGCTAATAAAAACTATAATCTATTTAATATACAACATTATCCAATATTGACTGGTTAAAGTTAACATTATCTGGATAATGTTAATAATTCTTGCTTATAAACGAAAAATTACACGTTATCCAAATGTTAACATTGCCCGTAACATATATATGAAATAAGAAGTAATAAGAAATAATTATTACGACTATGATAGGATTTTAAAATTATGTTAAAATTAATTTTATAAATATTTTTTGGCATAGTTATAAAAGAAATCCAAGTTAAAGATGTTTTTACAATTATAAAATGTTTATAGTACAAACGCATCAGCTAGAAATTGTAAAATTATAGAAACTTGTATATTTACTGGAATTACTTTAATTTTGGCTTACGTTTATTAATCACATCAGAGAAGACTTTTATGTATATTTAAGATTTATGCTAATTTTGGAAGGTATTTTTGGGGTAATTTTGAGTTTTTTTGAATTTTTTTTTTTTGTTCCCTACTCATCCACGATGAAAAGCTGTATCCAAATTTTTATCAAGTTTCATAAATTTGTTTTTTCTCTACCTTGATAAAAAGATATTTCCATTTTTCGTTAAATCGACTACTTTTGCACCCTTAAAACTGAGGGTTGAGTCAATGCAGAATGTTCGTTCTTGTCTTATTCGACAGTTGTAGGCATAAGTATTAAGAAGCTATAAAAATAGGTATTTTCATTTATATTCCCTCTCCGGCTGCTGTGAATGCCGCTTTATTCCATTTAGTTGTGCAGATTATATATATTGTACGGTTGACCATTAACATAATACAATTTTGATAATTTCATAATATTATTAAACTTTTATGAACAAAAATGAGATGCCTTGTTTGTTCAATTTGTATATTTTTATACTTATTTTTCGGATTTAAATTTTAATTCACAAAAGATATGATGACAAAAATGTAAATTGGGTATTATAAAAAATATTTAAAAGAAAATAGTATAACATGTATTAATAATATTTTTATATGTAGTCTGGTTATCCGCCATGCCACTAAATTCTCAGATGTTCACTAATCCAAAAATAAATACTTGAATCATGACATTTTTGCATTAAATAATTTTTTAACGTTATTATTAATATATGAATAATTATAATTTTTATTTTAGGTTTAAAATATCATCTGAATCGGATCATTTTAGAGATATTTCCAAATTGAATGTAGTTGATGCTGCTGATCAAATAAATAGTGATGGGATTCATATTTTAATTAATATGAATGGTTATACTGAAGGGGCTAGAAATGAGATATTTGCTTTACGACCAGCTGCAATTCAAGTTTTATGGCTTGGTTATCCTGGTACTAGCGGTGCTACATTTATTGATTACTTGATTACCGATAAAATATGTTCACCACCTGAATTTAATCATTATTATACTGAAAAATTAGCATACATGAATCAGTCTGTTTTTGTTGGTGATCATAAACAGTTATATGGTGATTTAAGTCCGCGCACCAATAATAATTATCAAAACATACCTACAAGAGAGCTTAAGACTACTATTATAATAAATAATGGAGTTCATAGTATCAAAAAACCAAAACCAAATCATTCTATACTACCAAAAAATTTTCCTACTTCTATGTATAGTATTAGAAAACGTGCAGATGGCCAGGAAAAATTTTACACTAGATCCCAATATAATTTACCTGAAAACGCTATTGTTTATTGTAATTTTGGTAAATTATATAAAATAGACCCTCATACTTTTAAGATGTGGATAACTATTTTAAAAAATGTTCCTAATTCTGTACTATGGCTTCTTAAATTTTCTGAAGCTGGAGTTGAAAACTTATTGAGTATTATTTCATCATCAAATGTGGATCGATCACGTATAATTTTTAGTGACATAGAACTAAAAGATGATCACATGAGACGAATACAGTTGGCTGATATATTTTTGGATACTTGCATATGCAATGGCCATACTACTTGCTTGGATGCATTATGGGCTGGAATACCAATAGTAACATTACCAGGAGAAACATTTGCATCTCGTGTTTCTGCTTCCCAATTAACTACACTAGGATGTATCGAGACAATTGCTCTTAATAAAGAACAATATATAGACATAGCAGTAAAATTTGGGAAGGATAAACATTTATTGGAGAATATTAGATCAAAAATTTGGACATTAAGAACAGAGAGTAAATTGTTTGATTGTAAATCATATGCCGAAGAACTTGAAATTATTTATGAAGATATATGGAATAAGTTTTTATTTGGGAACCATTTAGATATATAATATTTATTTTAGCAAACATGATTACTATTTATTTTTGTGTTCATTAAGCAATTTACATTAGGTTGTACTAATTATATTTATTTATGTAAGAACAGGCCTAGAGCCTAGTCGATTTTATATATATATAATATTAATATATATATAATATTAATTGATTTTTTTTTTTTTTTTTTTGCAACGATTTAATTTCGCATAAAAGTGATAACATGAATCACAATTACTACGTTTATATGATAGCGTTAAAACGGTTTGAAATTAATCCGTTTTGAAATTAAGACCCATTAACGTCATGTAATCACTTAAAAACGATTTAAAAAATGTAAACCGTTTTAACTTTTAAAACATTTTTTAAACCGTTTTTAAGTGTTTACATGACGTTAATGGGTCTTAATTTCAAAACGGATTAATTTCAAACCGTTTTAACGCTATCATATAAACGTAGTGATTGTGATTCATGTTATCACTTTTATGCGAAATTAAATCGTTTCAAACCGTTTTAACCCTTTCAGTCCAGATTTTTTTTTTTAGGTAAAAAAATTTTTTCTTCATATTTTTATTTTATATATTCTAAAAATAAGTTACTGTTAAAATTTCAAATTTTTCGCACTACCCCTTCCTAAAAAATTCGTGATGTACATTAAAATGTACAATGGGACTTGCCGTCATAAAAAATAAAAAAAAAATTTATTATAACAAATGCATATTTATAAATTTAAGAATTGTATAATTGTATTAAGAATAAATAATAACTTATAACAGTCATTAAAAATTAAAATAATAGCTTATAATAGTTATTAAAAATATAAAGTAAAATAAAATATCAAATACAAAGTTAATTGTGAAAATCAAAAAAACAGTTATTTTTTGTCGTAAAACATAAATGAACGTTACATTTTATACAATTTACATTTGTTCTTCCTTTGCAACCTTCATATTTACATCGCGTGGCTTATTTTCTTCCATCAAGCTGTGGTAAGTGACCGATATTGTCATGTTGAACAGTTGATAAAGGACGCTAGTCTATTATTTTTTTTTTTTTTTTCAAGCGGTGAAAATAATTTTTTTTGAAGATTCGGGGATATGCGTGACGACGGGCGTCCTACTTTTCTCGAAGGCGTAATTACAGTTTTCCCCAAAAGTATCAATTCTTTAGCCAATCTCATCCTAAATCCAAGTAAATCTAATGTATCTTTCTTTTTGATTTTTAATTGTTTTGCGTCATTTATGTATTCTAACCACGAGTTACTTACTGCCATTTCAAACGCGTGGCTAACCATTCTGAGTGTCCATTTTTTTGATTTTATGAAACATCGATATAAGCTTACTAGCTGATCGTGTTTATCTACACCACCCATCGTATTATTATAATGTCCTACTATTTCCGGTCGCTCGATGTAGACATATTTTTTGTTTATTCTGTCCCACATTTTTATCGTATCAACTTTTCCTGAGGCCACAACATTTGAACATAAATTTATGGGTTTATTGTCATACCATTTTACTAGTCCTAAATTTACGTCTGGAATGTCCGAACTTATTTCAAATGTTGTCCCCCTTCCCATTTTTTTCGTTTATCCGACAAAAATGGTGGATTGTTGAAACGATTCGTACGTATTGTACCAGTCGCGTGAATTTGTTTTTTTTGCAAAGTGTAAAATAAATTGAACGATGTAAAAAAAATTGTCCATTGTCAAATAATGACAATTTGGCTTTAGATTTTCCGTTAAACTTATAACTACAGCACCACCTACACCAAAAGTTTTTTTTAAATCATCGTCGACTTCGATCATATTTCCTTAGTATAAGATTAAATTATACACTAAGCCACTTTGGCCGCATAATAGATATGTTTTTATTCCCCAAGGATTTGGTTTACCTCGAATATATTGCTTTACTGATAAATGTCCCTTGAATGGAATCATCTGTTCATCAACCGATAAGTTTCTTTCCATTGGAATTTCTAAACATCTTTTTTTAATTATTTCAAAAAGAGGACGAATTTTAAAAAATTTATCATTGTTGTTTTTCGGAATCTCCATATTGTCTACAACGTGAAAATGTGTACGAAGACTAAAAAATCAGTTTCTGGGCATAGTTTCGGCAACTAAATTTATATAGGTATCTTTTTCCCAATACATACGTACTCTAGGCATCTTTAAAGCACCCATAACTATATGTATTGCAATAAAGTCTCTAATTTCAGACGAAGTAGTAGGTTTGAATCGTGTTTAATTTTGTTGAGTTGCGTATAAATTAGTAAAATAGGCCATTTTATCAAATTCTTTATCATCAAAGTATTTTGAAAAGTAATATATAGGATCATACAAATAGGTTGGCGGTTCGGCTTCATTTAAATCATTTAAATTAATTGAAGGTGGGGTAAATGGTTTTTGCTGCCATTTAATTTGGTTTTTTTGTAAAGTGAAATATTTGGAATTACTAATAGAGTCAACATTACCATCTTCCTCAATGTCTTTCGAATCGGATAAAACGAAATCCTCTTCTTCGTCAAACTCGGCTAGTAATTTATCAATTTCGTCCACATTTTCGTCAACATCACTGTCTTCTAAACCACTGAAATCCGACATGTCTGCATCGAGTAACTCGACTAATTCACGGTCCGTGAGGTTTTTACTTATTATAGAAATGTTTTATTTAATTATTGTTATAAAATAATTAATTTGTAACTATTTGTGTAAAATACGTACATGAAAAGTAAACAAAAATGTATATGTATATTGCGTAACGACTAACGATAAATGCGTTCTGTACGAACTGTCAATAATAAAATCGCATCATCGTTATCATCGTAAGACGGTGAGTCCCGTTGTACATTGCAATGTACATACATAGTATAGTATTCTATTTTTAAACTATTGATTGTATTAAAACGAAATTTGAAAAACAAATAAAGCAGTGTGTCAAGAACACAAAAAAAAAATTCCCAAGATTTTGGTGTTATCAGAATAATATTTATCAAAGAAAAATGTTATGGTAAAATGTACGACAAAATATTTCAATTTTTTCTGCTTATGAACTTAATTATAGACAGTTGGTAACAGTGCTATAATAAATATATACCTATATTCGAATTCTCCGTATCATAACAAATTCATCGAAGTCAATACCATGTGTTTAACTCTTATCATTTAAAAATTAAAAATGAGTGAAAAGTATGTACATTGTAATGTACAAGGGGACTGAAAGGGCTAACGCTATCATATAAACGTAGTAATTGTGATTCATGTTATCACTTTTATGCGAAATTGAATCGTTGAAATTTAAATGTACCGGTCAGTAATTCTATTTTACAAGAAAAATCTATAAATTTAGCTTTGCAATTAGGTGTAGACAATTTTAGTCCAACGATCGGGTGGTTGACTTGTTGGAAAAACAGAAACAATATTGTTTTTAAAAAAACATGTGGAGAAAAAAAAGATGTAGATTTTCAAGCTGCAGAAGATTACTTAAAGAATTGTATTGCATCGTCTATTATGCACCTGATGACGTATATAACTCAGACGAAACTGGTTTGTATTATCGAGCTCTACCAGATTCTACTTTTGATTTTTAAGGTTAATGGATGTAAAAAACAAATGCAAAGACTTACGATTCTGCTGGTTTGCAACATGTCAGATACGGATAAAAGACGTCCTTTAATTATTGGTTAAAGTAAAAATCCACGCTGTTTTCGAGGCGTTAAAACATTGCCCGTCGATTATTACTCTAATTCAAACGCTTGGATGACTAGTCTAATTTTTACCGAATTTTTACGAAAATGGGACAGAAAAATTAAAAAACCAAGACGTATTTTACTACTTCTTGATAACTGTACAGCACATCCGAATTTACAAAATTTAGAAAACATAGATTTGAAATTTTTACCACCAAACACTACGTCACTTATTCAGCCTCTTGATCAGGGAATCATAAAAACAATGAAAACTTACTATAGAAAAGCAATGCGGAATTTTATTGTTGAAACTATAGATGTATCTGAAATTCCTGCATCACAAATAGCTCGTAAAATAACTGTGCTAGAAGCTATACATATGGTGGTTAATGCTTAGGATAAGGTGACTTCCAAATGCATTATTAATTGTTTTCGAAAAGCTGGGTTTTCACAAATTGAGTCAGACGAAGAAGAACCATAGGAGGTCGAATTCATAGATACAAACTTTGAAAATTGGATTTTAATTGTCAAGATTTACCTACTTTTGGAGCATTGTCTGATAAAGACACAACTGATTTGCAAACAAAAAAAGAAGAAATCAATATTGACGATGTTGAAGATGATGATAACGAAGAGACCAACGAGGATATCACTCAAAAAGATACCAGAATTATTTTGGAAAAGCTAAAAGGAGCTGTTCAAAAATACGGCGATAACGATACTTTTCAATTGTTTCAAAAACTACAGGTATGTATATTGTAAACAAATAAATAAAATACATGAATATGATTTTTAATTTTTTTTAATTTATTTTAAATGCATTTATTTAATTTTATTTTTATATATTAATATTATTTTATTTTATTCAAAATTTAATTTTATTTCAATTATAAACGTAGAATCATTAAATAAAAACAAATGTAAAAATCAATAATTTTATTAAAAAATTATAATTATGTATATATGTATTAGAAATTATTAAATATCCAATTATAAATAAATAATTGTATTAAAAGATTGAATTATAAAAAAAATTATTGTAATGCTTTTTAGAATCAACCGGTTAATAGAATCAAAATGACCTGCACCAAAGTGATCACATTAAGCGGAACTCACTGTATATGTATATATATAAATCTATCACAATATTGTATACAAGAAACTATGAACAATCAATTTTTCAGTATCTAGTTTAAATTAAAAACTTAGAATGAAGTAGAATAATTTGCTATCGAAAATTTAATAATAACCAATAGTTACACAAAAATTGAGTTTCCCCGTAAATTGTATTCACGTACCGCCAGAGCCGTGCCGTGGGGGGAGGAGGCCAAGGGGGCCCTTGCCCCGGGCGCAAAAAAATTCATCAAAATTAGTATATTATTTTATAATGCTGTTTTAGACTACATTATACATAATAAACGGCAGGTATATATTTGACACGCGCCGTCAGCGATAAAACGCCGATAGTGTTGTCGCTGTTTTCTTGAAAAGCGTTATCGATGGTATACGTACTCCAGTCTTATTTTATCTTTGCTTTCGTCGTACTTATTAGTTATTATAGTACTATATTGTATGTAGCAATGTAGCTATTACAAAATTTATTTTGATTCCGCCACCCGGTGCCCACGATAAATTGTTAACTAATACCCACAAGTTACAGCTGTACAGAAAAATATTATTAGCTGTAGTTTGGTGGTTTGGTGAGTTATATTGCCGCGATCTATTGAAATATTTCAATTCGTTCTATTTTTCCGGTTCAACAAGCGATGAGAAGTATTAATGAGGTGTTTGAAAATTACTTTAAAAACGCATAGTGACACACGCTGGTCATCCAAATACAATTCAGTTCATTCGTTATATTGTCAGTTAGGTGAACTAGTGAAGGCCTTACGTGAAATATCTACTAATCCAACTTTTGGTGACGGAATAGCTAGTGCAGAAAGTATTTTAAAACAACTTGATTTGCAATTTGTTTATTTTTTAATTATGTGGGATAAAATATTAAATCAAATTTCTCGTGTGAATAAAGTTTTACAAAGTTTTTCAACTATTACCATTGGTCAGGCCTCAAAAATGTTTATTTCATTAAATATTTTTCTTCAAGAAATGCGTGACAATGGAACTGAAGAAATTAAAACCGAAACGATAAGCATTTGTGAAAAATTTGGTATAAAATCAGAATTCAAAATAAAACGAAAAATAAAAATGAAAATCACAAGTGGAGGAAGGTCAGCAAGTGAAGGTTTTTCTGCCGATCAATTATTAACATTAAAATATTACAAAGTTCTTGATAATATGATGGCTGAAATTAAATGGCGTTTTGAAAAATTATCCATTATTTCTAATGATTTTGAATTTCTTTCCGGCCATTCACTATTTGACACCTGTTGCAATGATGAAAAAATGTGCAGCTGACTTGGCAATTAAATACGATGAAGATATAGGTCCAGAAATCATTAACGAAATAGAATTCTTTAAATATCAAGCAAAAGTAGTACTACGAGATGGGCAAAACGCTAATTTTTTAAATATTTTAAATGCAATAAAATCACGTGAACTTGACTCAACATGTCCAAACTTGGTGATTGCATACAGATTGTACCTTACCATGCCTGTTACTGTGGCAACTGGAGAACGTTCCTTCAGTAAGTTAAAATTAATTAAGACATACTTACGATCGACCATGTCCCAAGAAAGACTAACTAACTCGGCAATATTATCAACAGAAAATAAAACAACACAAAAAATCGACTTTGAAGATGATATTGAAGATTTTGTTTCAATCAAGTCCAGAAAGATTAAATTTTAAATAATACAATAACAATAATAAACTTAAATAATTTTAAATAAATACTTTATTAATACTAATACTGAGTTGCATTATTTTTAATTTTTTTTCTAATAATAATCACATGATTTATTATTGTATAAAATTATTTCATAATTGATTAAATAATTGGGAAGGGGGCGAATATTTGTCATTTTGCCCCTGGGCGCCATCTCTTATCGGCACGGCTCTGCGTACCGCTACTGATCGAATTTTAAGAAAAATAAAAGTATAATTAAGAATAAATTGATATTTTAAAAGATCGGATCATGGAGATTGATTCAAAAAATTGATTAAAATCGCCTATCATTCAATTTTAATATAGTTTACACCTGCGCGTGATTTGACAAGCCTGTTCAGTTTCATTTCGTGTTCATATTTTGGTGTAAAATATGAAAAAAACAATGAATTTGACATAGTTCTGTCTATGGGCATGTTCCCAGGTCCCTCATCTGACTGGGGTCCCTTGTATAATAGAAATCATAATTGTCAATCTTAAGCTAAAACGTATAAATACTTACGACCGTCTATAAAAAAAAAAAACCGGTAAATGTCAATGTTGAAATGTTAATGAATAATTTGTTTATCTTTAGTGTGTTTTATTTGTATATTAGGTATCTTTTACTTCTTATCTCATTATTTAACCTTTTCTAGACCAAACCTAGAAAAACAAAAATAATTGAAATTTTTTTTTGCCAATTCCTTATGTTTTTCTACAGAGCCGTAACTAGGGTGAAGCGAGCGAGGCACTTGCCTTGGGCGCCTGAAGCTGGGGGGCGCAAAAATATAAAATAGTTAACTTATTTTAAGAAATTTTATTTCTTGTTTTGCTAGAAACCTAATTACAATTTATCAGATTTTTTCCGAATCCGTATTATACATATTAAAATCTGTGAATGTGATAACCCTATAACCGAGGGGGCGCATTGCTTCAGTTCTGCCTCAGGATAAAAAATGGCTCGGTACGGCTCTGTTTTTCTATGTTAAAAATGAAAAAAATTTGAAAATACATAAAAATGTAGTTCTTCATTCATTTTTCGTCCTGGGACCTATGAATCCCGTCAGTCATTTACGGTCTGGACTTAAAAGTCTCGTCAGGCATTTAGGGCAATTTTTCTTCCCATATAAGCAATGTATTTTTTATTATGAAGTTAAGGACATTTCTAAATTATATTTTTTAAAAATATAAACAGTTGAAAATTCAAACAAGTTTTTAAAAGTATTTGAAGTTTGTGGAAAAATCTATAACTCAAAATCATCATATTATAGTTTTTTATTCTCCTTCATGAATATAATTATCTTACAATGTTCTCTATTACTATTGCGCTCATCTGTAATATGAATACATATTATACTTATATAAATAAAAAATTTAACCTGATAAACTTAATTCACAACATTTTGTAGTCGGATTCATCTTTTTTTATGTAAGAAACAAAACGGTTTCGAAAATTAATATATTTTATTTCGACAGACATTTTATGCAAAAATCTAAATGACTGACGGGACTTTCAAGTCCCACTAACAAAATACTATCTAATATGTTTAAAAAGTTAAAATTACAAGTATAAAATATTTTTATACATTCCTTATATGTTATTACACAATAATAAGTAAAAAGAAGTGCATCATTATCTTTAAAATTAATTATAAATTGCGATTTTCGTCAGCACTTTTTCAGCAACACGTATAAGCATAATTGAAAATTTCAACACTAATAACGTATAATGGATTAATGTTATTATTATTATTTTTTTTTTGATTATATATGGGACTATAAAGTCCCAACAGATGTAACCTACGTTATAATACAAATGTACTATTTTATATAATTTTTTTTTCGCCGGGACTTTAAAGTCCCGTCAATTCACAAAAGGTTAATAGGTTTTTCTAAAATATGAATAACTCATATCGCACGGCGATATTTAAAAATTATTTTACTTCCTGTACTCGTGTGCATTGAAGTGAGTACTGGATTATTTATCAAATCATAAATCTTACGTCAATACAGTAAATTGAATGCGAATTCGATTTTAAACGTGTTTTCTGTAACACTGACAGTACGAATGCGCCATTTGTTTAAGCATTTACTCAAAGATAACTCACTGATAACTCGCTGTTATTATCAGATAACACAAATTAACATAGCTTATGCCATTGTGTTCAATAAATTATGAAACTTTTTTTTTTTTTATTGTGCTTTCAATTTTACCATTAATTAATCACTATTTTTAATCTGTTTAGTGCTTGAGTATTGTAAACTATTATTTTGACAAAAGTGTTTAGTATGACTTAAGGAATGTGAACATATTTTTATTCTAGTTATTCGTTTAGTGTTCTGTAATTTTTGGTAAAACGTGTTTTTGTAAATTATTCATTATAAATTATAATTATAATATTTGACTGTAAACATATTCAATATGCCATCTCTACGGAACACTATTTGCGAAACACTTCTTGGAGAACCTGATCAAGATGCTAATTCTGCTTTAATCGAACTTGACAAAGGACTTCGTTCCATTCGTGCCGGAGAACAATGTGAAGCCATTGTACGTTTCCCTCGACTTATTGAAAAATATCCTTTTCCAATTCTCATCAATTCGTCATTTTTGAAGTTAGCTGATGTTTTTCGATTGGGCAGTAATTTTCTTCGTTTTTGGGTGTTGCAAGTATGTCAGCAGACCGAAAAACACATAGACAAAATTTTAAATATTGATGAATTTGTCCGTAGAATTTACAGCGTAATTCATTCTAATGACCCAGTTGCTAGAGGGTTGACTTTACGTACGCTGGGTAGTGTTGCTCGTATTATACCTGAAAGAGGGCAAGTACATCATAGTATTCGTACTAGTTTAGATTCACACAATTCTGTGGAAGTAGAATCTGCAATTTATGCAGCTGCACAATTTGCAGCTCAGTCAAAATCGTTTGCTGTAAGTATGTGTAGTAAGATTTCAAACATGATTCAGGGTATTTCAACTGATGTTGTTATGAAACTTGAACTTATTCCAATATTAAAACATATGCATCATGATACGACTACTGCAACAATGGTTAGAACACTTTGTACTGATTTATTAGAGAAATATCCTGCTCAAGATTTTGTTCTTGTTACACTGAAGACTCTTAATCAATTAGCTTTGTCAATTTTAGTTGATGTACCAAAGCAAATAGAATTACTTTTAAAATATTTAAGTGAAGATAAAAGACCATTAGTTTGCAAATGTGCCATTTCTGGTTTATATCAAATAGCTAAAGAAGGTGCACATTTTTGGTCAGAACAAACCATTAACACTTTGGTTAATATTTGTGAAAATTTTAATGTAGATAATAATTTAAAAGCAGATGCCATTAATATATTTGTACCATTGATAAAATCTCCTGCTATATGTCAATTTCATTACAGTACAGTTAGTCCTCTTATGAAAATGTGTATTGCTGAGTCCAGTTCATTACATCAATCAGTTGCTGGAAATGCAATTAAAGTATTAACAAATATCGCATGTTATGGTTTTGAAGAAGACATTCTGTCAGAAAGTGATATTGATACTTTAAAAGTTTGCATTCAAAGTTATCTTTTGTCTGTATTGTCTACTGGACATACACATGATAATGGTTTAGAAGGTTTAAGCATTGAAGAACGATTATTTATTAAGAACACTTTAAAATCTGATAATATTGATGAGGTAGTAGATGTTGATGGTACTCCAGTAAACTACGATAAATCATCATATTATCTTCGTGATGGTTTACGGTCATCTGTTTTGCTATGCAAGGCTAATAAAAATTTAATCCCAGATTTTGTTTCACTTGTTGTTAAACCATTACAACAAGATGGATCTGAATTAAATCCATTGATATGTGAAGCTATTGCTGCCTTTGGAGGTATTTTACCTGGTACTTTACAACAATTTCTACCAATTTTTCTTAAACGTTTAACAGACTTAAATAAAAATAGAGACCAAGAATCAGTATCTACTACAATTTTGTTATGTACTGTAATTTTCCAAGCCATAGCAGGTTATGAGGAACATGAAGACGTTAAGCAAGTAATTAAAGATACAATAAAGAATACTGACCTATGGTCTAATTACAAAATTGGTCGAGCTGCTGTTAGATATGGTCATTTTAGTATAAGTTCCACAATTTTTGGTAGTCTAAATAATCGTGTTAGTTCAGAACAAATGCATTTTTGGTTGGCTGCATTAGAGACTATAAGTACTGCAGAGTCTCAACTTGCATCATCAAATCCCTCTAAATTATTAGATAACTTGGGCAAATCAATATCTACCTATTATAAAGCAATAGCTGCATTGAAAGCTGCATCATTAATGCTAATTTTTCAAACAGAATATACTCGTCTGCGGTGTGAATTATTACAATGTTTTATGCGTTTACTGTCTACTTGTAACAGTTTTTGTACTACTCCTCCTCCTGCTATTGCGTCAGCTATTGTACAAGCTACTAGAGATGAAATGCAAAGCTATGGTCATATAACTAATCAATTAAGAAAAAGAGCAAAAGAATTTAAAGGATGTGCAGATTTATATTGGAGATTATATCAATCAGCATTTGATGCTGATCCCAATACACTTTATCACTTACAACTTTTACAACACTTGTGCCTGTTGATGGCTCATAGCATTGAAACCGTAGCAGTTTCAAATAAATGTGAATGTCCAGTTTTGGATTCTGAATTGGAAAAAGAAGGTTCCTTAGAAATCCAATTAATTGTTAAGTGTAGACAAGAACTCTTAGAAATAATGAGTACAGTAAAAGAAAAAGCAATCACTCATAAACATATAAGATCTCTTAAAAAACAAGCATCTCTTTTGGCAACTACACCTATGTGTTTTCCTCGATATTTTTTCCAAACTTTACAATCTACTACTATAACTTTAGCGGTATCGCCTCAACCTAGAGTTAACGGAGAGCCTATTACTGTAAATATGGGAAGTAATTTTGTAGTTAAAGTTGAAGGAGTTGTACAACATGGAACAAAAGCTAAATTTCGTAAAGTGGATGGAATTCAATTAACAATTATGTCACATTTAATTACAAGAAATCATGATGCTAGACAAACTGAAGGAAATCTGATGTTAACACAAACAGTAAAACCCCATAAAGACTTCTTTGCATCAGAATTTTGTCTAAGTTTTAACCAAGGAAGTCAACATCAAGTTCATATCGAAGCAGCTTTGATTGACGATGCTGCATCTGTTTGGCAGATTGGAGTACGGAGTACTTTAACTATAAAATGCCATTAATGAAAAACAATATTTTTGGATTTTTTAATTTATTTTATCTATATTGTTAATACTTTCACCTATATTACAAATATAATACTTCTTATTGTATTATAATCGATTATTTCGTTCTGAATTGCTATTTTGTAACAAAAACGCTGGCCAATATTTAACTTGTCCAGTTTTTTTATCTATGTATTTCAAATTTGGGTTTGGGTAAGTTTTTGACCGATTTCCTAGAGATGTATAACTGTAAAATAAAATACATAGTTAAGCGTATACTATATAAATAATAAATACTGCGTATATAGATTTTTTAATTTTATACCCTTTATCATACAAGCAGCAATATGGTATCGAGAATTGTCTTAAAAATGACCAAACTGTATCATAACTCCAATGCAATATAGGATGTACCCGAAATAATTCAGGCCACCCTGGATCAGTTTTCTAAAATTATTAAAAATAGACTACTTATAATATAGTTCAAAAATATTTCATTTTGGTGAGGAGACGGATATTTAGCAGTTAACTACAAAAAGTAAAAAAATAATCGATTCAATATAAATTCTTTTATACTTTAATACAATTTGTTCTATATTTTTAGTTTTTAATATTTAATTATTAATATTTACATTATATGTATATTAACATTACATATTTTACATTTAATAAGATTATTTGATTAAACAAGTTTTAGGGCATACCAATGAGAACAATTATACTATTTATCTAAGTTCTTTTATTTCAGTGAAATTTATATTAAATTAAAATTTAATTATACAAAAATATTTATGTAATCAGAAAAGATAAAACATAATTTAATTTTTAAATACTATTAGCTTATTAGATATTTAATCATATGAAGTTAAATAAAAATTAAATAAAAAACAAATAAAGGTAAGTGATAGAAGTGCATCAAGACAAGTTGAAACAAAAACCAAGAAATTTCATAAATACTATAATGAGAGCATAAATAAAATTTTTTTCAACATATTGCTTATTGGTTTTTCTCTGTTGTTAGACATAATAAACTATTTTCATATTTTTAAATTTATTTTACATGATTTAAAATATTGAAATTAGAACTTTTTCAGATATTTGAATTAAATTCAAGCATATTAAGGGTTACTTTACATATTTCAATGTAAGGTTAAATTATTTGCTATGAGTAGAAAATATAATATATATATATATAATAGCTCAACAATTAAGAAGCTTAACCTTGAATATAATGTTTTAATATAAAATTAATAAATTGATTGTATTAGTGTATATCAATATTATAATTGTGCATATTTTTATTTTACTTGGAAAAAATTGAAGTTTTAAGGACTCTATATCAGACTGTCTTGTACCAATTATGGATGCACGGAATTGAGAATTTTTCTTTAAAAATTCCCAAAGGCCAGATTTAAGGTCACCTTTGATTACTGTTAGATCTAAATTAAACCTAAAAATATAAAACTATTTATTATTTGATTTTTAATATTTTCATTAATTAATATGGTATGCACCTTTTTACTGTAGATTGTACATAGTCTTCTTCTTCTGGAAACTGATCATCTGATTGAAAATAGACAGCTTTGATTGTTTCATTAATTTCTAAATCTTTTAATACACCTTGGAATAAGTACAATAGAACAACACAATCTTTTCCACCATTAAAGCTCAAAAATATGTTTTTTAAAGTAAATTTGTCAATACTTTCTTTAATTACCTATAAATATAGATTATTTTAATCAAATTATATTTCTACAGTTTAAAATAATTACTTGAATAGCTTGAAAAATACTTTTTCCAAGAGTCAGATGTGTTTGAGTTTGAAATCTCAAAATATCTTCAAAATTGATTGAATTCACTGTATGATGAGGATATACAAGTGTATTTTCTGGTAATGTACTAATTAAAAATCGTTCACATTGTTTGATTATATTTTCATCATTACAATAAATTCCAAAAGAGTCTGTGTAGATGATAAATTCTAATTTATCACAATTATTTGAAGACAATATTTCATTGTTTATTATTTTAATAGTTCTGATGATTAAATCTTTACAGTTAGAATTAAAATAAATAATTCGTTTATATACATATTTGAGCACCATGCCTGATGTATTGTCCATTATGGTCATCTTTTCATGTACATAATTCAGTTCTGAGTGTTCTTCCAGATGCAAAAATTTAAAGTTCTACAAATAAATATACAACAATAAGTTATCTTTCGAATTAAATACCTATTTATGTTATTTCATAACAATCATATGGTACGAATTAAAATGTATTTAATGTTCTTTCATATCTAACTATAATTATATATATTTAAAACTAATTTTTAAATTTTATCAGTGTCATAAGTGCAAATTATTGTAAACAAAATATTTATGAAATTAAATATTTATAAAAAAATACTTCAATTATTTCTAAGACACAAATAATAAAATATATTTTTTATAACTAATATTTATTAAAACAAAAGTAAATTTTATATTTGATTTTTACATTATAAAAAATAATTTCATATTTTTTAACGTATATTAACACTAAATTATTAAAAACATATTAAAATGTTTACTTTATACTCCACTTTAGAGAATAATCAATGGTTATATAATATAAATGTATGTGTCATCAATAGGATCAAGGGTAAAATTTTTCAATTCCAACAACTTATGTAATAATTTAATTTTATTGATTTTTGTATATACAACTTTCCAAATTTAAGATTTGTTAGTAAAAAATTGATTTTAAAAATATATATGTAGTAGATAACAACATTGATTAATTTTTTAACAAACATGCAGTGATTTTTATAACGTCTATCAATTATAATTATATTCTAGGTAATATTTTTGTTTTTTTAAAATAACAAATTAATTAAACTAAATACTAAAGAAGCTTATATTTATGTAAATACATTTGAAAAATATAAGATATTCTAAAAATTTAATTTTTAAAATAAAAATAACTTTAATTCAATAACAAGAGATTAACCAAACACACAAGATCCTTATTAAAAAGATCAGTGGTTAAAAACTTATAAATTAATAATATATGAAAAAAAAATAATTTAATCAAATATAAAAATACAATAATAATACATGATATAGTCAAAAAGTTATATTTGTATCTATATAAATATTATTAAATAGGTATTTAATATTACATTATCAAAAAATATGAATCTTATTTTTTTTTTTTAATACCTTCAGTTTCATCTTCAATGAATATTCTTTTTTTAATGATTTCAGATTTACACAAAAAATCCTTTGTTGTTTGTATTGTAATTCGAACCATCTCCTTATTTGGTGCCACATTTCTAACTCTAAAAATTTCTTGGATATCCTTTTTTATATTATTTAAGTATTTTTCTATTATTAATTTTAATCCTTCTTCATAACTTTGATCAGTTTTTACAAAAGTATAAACATGTAAAATTGGTAATGAATAATCATTTATATCTTCCCATTCAAATAATTTATTAAAGTACTTTATAAATTCAGCAGCAATAGCTGGCAAATTCATAGTTATATGGACTTTATTTTCTGAAGTAATTTTTTTCGACCATGAACTTAAATGAGTTTTTAAATCTTCTTGAATAAATTTACTTCCATCCTTATTGATAATTTTTAAATACTCATCTTTAATATGATTTTTTTTTTTATTTATTTCTAACCATTTACAACTATTTGGATTCAAATCATTAGCAATTACTATACATCTCATTTTTGCAGCCGGTACAGAAAATGGACCTATACCAGAAAATACATCATACAGTACATCTCCTGACTTAAGTTTACGTATAATACGTTCATGTTCAGTGCATAATCTTGGATTCCAATAAACTTCTGAAAAATCTAAGTCAAATAAGCATTTATTTTCTTTGACTGTTGTTTTTAAATCAGGTGAACCACAAATTACTTCGTATTCAAAATTTCTATATACATTATTGATATTATCAATTTTATTTACAACACTTTTACACCCTTTAAGTTTGTCTTTAAGAACTTGTCCAATAATATTCTTGTAATCAAGTAATTCAGATTTAAGATTAACATGCACAATTGATCCGATTGTAGAATAACTTGATAACATAGATTTTTCAGGTAATACTGCTTTAAGTATTTCATCATGATTCCAATTATCATAACTCAACTGGATCGTTTCATAATTAAGATGTTGAGTGGAGACAAAATCTAATTTGAAATCATCACATGAAGAAAATTTAGTTGGATCAAGGAAAAACATACATTCATATTCATTAGATCCATTACGAATTGATTTGAAGTTTTTTATCTTAATAATATAGTTTTTTAATACTCTATTAGCAGTTTCAACATTATTTTTGTTAATTACTAACACAGGCACAGTAACCGATTTCGTGAATTTATCAATTTTAAAAATTTTCATACCTCGTACATCATCTGGTGGCAATAATATGTTCATCTTGATTGCATATGTTTGGAAACAGTTTTTGATTACGGTATAATCTAGTAATCGGCGGACAATTAAGATCATGAAATCTACTCAGTTTTCAGTAAAAACTAAACTGAAAAAATAGAAAATTAATTTTAAACAAAATTATGAGACCTCATTACACTGAAAATGTGAATGATTTACAGAAAAACGAGATTAGTAATATTAATGGACAACGCGTAAGACAAATAATTCACAATATCTACTTGTGCATGTTAAATTAACACTGTTCAGTGTTCATTTTAATAATTTCATAGCATGTAAAATAATTATGTTAAATGTCCTAAGAATGGAAAGCTATTATCATAATCAGTTATCAATTATCTTTTTTATCATGTAGTTTGAAGGAAACAACTTTTCGTATACCTACCTACTGTGTGCTTGTAAAAATCTACTGAAATATTTATATATTTTTACTAAATTACAAACACCTTTAAGGTCATGGTTAGTAATTTAATTTTTTTTTTTTTATAAAATTGAAAATTTGTTAAAAAAAACTTGCCTCAACAGGTAAAATATTAAAGAAAAATTTGAGACTGATAAAATATAAGCTAAAGTATATTGAACAGAACAATCAAATTCAATTTTTCCTTTATTCATTTTTATTTATTTTATTCATTCTCGATTGATTTTTAGTTATTACTAAACTTGCATGTATCTACAAAATATACTTATATATAAATATACAGTGGCGCCGATAAAAATATTAAATGATTTGGTCAAAAGCCACTCAAGGATTTACTTTAAGGGGTTGGGAGTTCACCTCCTCCCAAAAATATTGAATCTGTTTTAGTATTTAGGTATTTAAAGTCTTAAATAGTAATTATTTAATGGACAGTATTATAATTTATAGTTAATTGGATGGATCAATTATTATTTTTTTATTCAAGTTAAAGAAAAGGCTGTATGTTTGATTTATCAAGAATCGATTGCAGCGATGAAAGATTATAATTTAAAACGACATTATGGTACCAAATATGAAGTAAAGTATGATATGATACAAGGACAACATCAAATTGACAAACTTGCTTCGTTAATGAAAAATATATAAGGTCAGTTTTTAAGTTTAAAAAAAATTTTATAAAGACTCAGAAGCTAGTGTCAAAGCTAGTTATATCATAGCACAAAAAATTGCTGCTAAATCAAAGCCGTTCACTGATGGTGAGTTTATAAAAGAGTGCATGGAGACGACCTCTAAAATTTTATGTCCAGCACAAAAATAACTTTTTTCCAAATCGAGTTTATCAGGAGTGACTGTAACAAAGTGTATAGAAGAAGTGGGAACTGACATTGAGAGTACTCTAAAAGAACGAATTTCTAAATTTATTTTTTATTCGCTGGCGCTTGACGAAAGTAGATATAGATTTGTCATATACTACTCAATTAGCAATTTTTGTTTGGGGTATTAAATCTAATTGTAATTCGATGCTACTGCTGTATATTATGATAAAAAATTAAATTAAATTATTTATTATAAATTAGGAAATTAGATTTTTCTAAATAATGCAGTGACTTTTTATGTAATTTATATACTAATTAAAAAAAGTATTAAAAAAAATTAACTTTTTTTTAGCTGAGTTTAGTTAATATTTTTTTCCTTATTAACTTTTAACTTATCGAGTTAAATTTATGAATTTTTAACTGTTAACTTATCAATCTTGTGTTCTCTTAATTTAACTCCAGTAAATTATTTTCATTAACTTGCCCAGCTTTGTATATACATGGATAGTTCGTAAGATTACCTAACCTAATCTAGTGTTTGTTATTTTGCTTAATATTGTGTTATTGTTACATAATTATTAACATAATAAATTAGTAGGTATTAATAAAATAGATAGCATTATTATTATTATTATTATTATTATCATCAATCTTTACTTTTTATATATTTATTGCATTATTTAAAATAATTAAATTTAATTATTTAATTATATGCATACATGCATAGATTTTTTAAAAAGCACTTTTCGTTGATGACGAAAAAATAGTAGGTAGGTATCTAAAAGTTTTGAAATTTCAATTTTTAATTTTTGGTAGCCGGCATCAAATGAATGCATTTTAAAATTTTAGTATGTGATTTTAGATTCCAACAATGTTTCCTTCACTTTGTTAGTTGGATTATTTATTTTAATTTGAAACACTGATAAATCATCACATTAAAAAAATAATCATTCCAAGATAAGGTTGAAGTGAATGAATAAAAAATCTATATTTAAATAACATTTTAACTTAAAAATATAAAACGTAATGTAGGAATTCTGTACATGTATTAAGACATTTATAAATATACAAGGTTTAAGACATGAAATTATTTAATTATTATATCCGTATCAGGAATATTTAACAAAATCCTTGGTGAGAAAAAAATGATTAAGATCAGTTGGATTTCAAACTCGAAAAAACATGCTTAAAAGTAAATGAATTTTAATAATTTTAAGTTTAACGTTAATATTGGAATAATTATAAAGAGAAAATGGGAAAATTACCTTTCAAAAATAGCGTACCATTCTGAGTATCCATATTTTCAAACGTACGATTAGATTCCTTTTGTATTTAAATGTGTTATGGAATAATAAAACAACAGTCGATTATATCACAGAATTGTAAAATACTAAAAAAATATTACACGTCTACCTACATAATAACTACTTTTATTTAGAAATTCTATAGTTTTCATGATTATTGAAATGATATGCCAAGTTTGAAATCTAATTAGTGTAAGTTAGTAGGTTACCTTTAGTTGATGGTACCTTTTTAAATATATAAATATATATATATATATATATATACAAATATCATAATTTTAAATAATTTCATAAAAATACTGTAAAAAATCGAATATAGTAACAGTTTATGAATGAAAAGCATGTATTGTTATTTTAAAATTAAATTCATGTAACAGCATAAAGCGTCTACAACAGGGATGGCAAAATCCATGGCACGCGAAAAGTTTTACTATTATGTATTATATAATATATAATATTATAGGACCTATAATATAATATAAATAATTAACAAAGCAATATTATTATAGTTATTATTATTATTATAATGTACCTAAACTAACCTTTTTATACTAATACATTAATTATACAATCTAACTATAATATAATAAAATAAAATATTTTTAATATTTTTTTCTTGGCACGCTCTCTATATATATATATATATAAAAGGTAATTTTGGGCACGCAGTGTTCAAAGGATTTGCCATCCCTGGTCTAGAACGACAATATTCGGGAATTATGTTTATGTACGCACTTAAAGGTAGGCCGACAAAACTACGAAAGTAATTTTATTATTTCTTAGTACAGTTTCAGAGTTCGAAAAAATATCTAGATAAATCTGCAAGCTACAAGTAATAATGCAATCGAGTGAACAATTATAAACAATACAATTTATGTAATTTCATATCCAATATCAATATCGACGCTTCAGTTCAAGACTGCAATAACTCAAATTTTGCAACTACTGGTTCTAGAATGAAATAAACGACCTCTAGAGGCGAATAATACAACTAAAAGTTATTGCGTTATAGAAATGAAATCATTCTAATTTTGCAAATAATATCACGTAGATAACTCAATTCTGAATATTTTTGAGTTATTGCAGTCTTGAATTGAGGCGATGATATTATTAATATTATTAATCAACGATAGGATAACTAATATAATTGATTTATATTTAAAAAAGTATAATAATAATAGTTATGTAAAATAATGTATGTACGCACTGTTATAAGTGTATGTCATATGTTCCGAAAAACCATATATTTTAATGTATAATTTATTGTCAATTCTATGCTATTACTGTACTACCCCACTGCGATTGATTTACTGATATACACGATAATTATGTGAAATCAACTTAATGTTCACGCGTGGAATACAAAAACGTATAAAATTACCGTGACCGTATTAATAATTTATAACAACAAAAACATTTGACGTTTTTTCTTTTCGTATCGAAAAGTAATAATATAATTTAGATGCTAGTGTACCTGTGTTATATAATATTCCCATTGGTGGTGTCACGTCTCACGAATAGGCTAGGTTGTCGTAGTTATCTACTTATCCGACCGCAGGTACAACAACAACACCTAGGTACAGTGGTGCACAGAAGTATTTTGAGAGCATACGCAACTAAAAAAAGTTACTCACCCACCCACCAATTTTTTTTTTTTTTTTTAAAAAAAATCTTTATTTAAATTGTTGTCTGTAATTGTAATTTACTCTTAAAATAACTATACATTTATGAAATTAAGATTTATTATAATTAATTAAAATGAAGATGTCCACACCCAGTGCCGTATAGGTATAATGTTCGTGTTATAATAATAATATTATTTGCTTACCATACTCTATAATGTTTGGTATCCAAGTTGTCCAATTACATACCCACCCCCAACGAGAGCACATGCAATTGCACCCCTTGGTAACCTGTAGGTAGGCATGAGTAATACATATTAATTGTTATATTACGATTCCGGGGTTGTTTATAATCAATCAATCATCGTGGGCCACGGTGATCTTAGATGACCGCGCTAGTTACCTCGGTACATTTCTTGACACGATCTGTATGCACTGGCGAAGGTACTGTCCCTCCCCTGCTCCAATGTTGTATTTCAGATCCCGCAACCATGGCAAATAATTCGTGTTTTCCAACTGAGAAATTATACAAATAAAAATGGCGCAATGGTGCAATAATATTATTAACAGTTAATAACAGACTACAAATTTGATTCAGTTACCAGTAGGTATCTATCTTGTACACGAACAAAAACTATTGATCGTTAAGAGTTGGCATGGAAGTACTCGTATTATGAAAATATGTTTTCTTATAATTTCGGGGAGGGGGGGGGGGGTTGAACCCACAAATCCTACCTTGTATACGTGCCTGATGCTGTATGGGTAGTGTTATTCATAAAACATTTTTTCATTGCAAAAAATTTCGTTTACCTTGTGTTTTCAAAGCGTGGACCGTTCTTATCGTTTTTGGAGTTTTTCGGAAATAGTGAGCATATGTATGTATATTGTTCAACTAGGAATAATATGTATTTTTTTAACTTAAAATGTTAGTGATGCTTGTGTATCTACTGCAAAAGAATCAATACACAAGTTAGTAAATATTTTATTTAGATCAATCTTATGTTTATAAGAAGTCCTGTGCTCGGTTGAAAAGAATAATGGCTCGATCCATATACAAGTAATATATTAAAAGTTTGATTTATTATAAATTTTAAATACGTGTATAGTTACACTCGTTTGTTCTATTAGTAAAAATCAGCAAATAGCAAATATCACAATAGCGCATGACTT